GCATATATTAGAATAGATGTAATGATGTAATGTAGTTCATAATTCAATACTGTATTCAACAGTATGGGGATCGCCCGAGAATGAAGTAGAGCCAAAAGAGGACAGCACCTTGGTGAAGACTTGAGACGCAGTGGACAGGCTGAAGGGAAGGGCAACAAGCTGGTAGTGTTGATGGGCAGTGCAAATATGCATCCTTGATGTCCTCTAAAAGACTTCCAGGTCAGTGAAGGCAATGACAGAGTGGGTAGATTGCATACAGAATTTTTGCAGGAAGCCATTGAGATAAAAAATAGGGTGGAATCCCCTACCCCCTTTGCTTTGGGGACAGTGAACAAGTTGGAGTAAAACCCCTAAAACTATGACCCCCTGGAAAAGAAGCTGACCTAGGACAGTGAGGAGATCCATCTGCTTTTTGGGGTGAACTTGGTAAGTTCAACAGCAGAAGGTAAGTAAAAGTCAGCAAGCGAAAAACCATTGGCTTACTTCACTCGGGTCCCAGGCATTGGGAATGCCCAAGAAGGTCGAGAAGGCAGACAGACATTTCCCCACTAGTGAAAAACAGGGGCGCCAAAATGAAGAGGGCCTGTGTCTGGATTTAGTAGGATTGGAGGGCCAGGACTTACAGCAGAACGGAGAGCCTGGCTTGGGTTTGCTTCCTGAAGCGTGGGAGGGACAAATGGACCCTTCTTGAAAGAGGGAGCAGAGTATTTTGCTGCTGGAGACTTGGATGACAATTTCTGACATAAGAAGGTGCTCTTGCCTCCCATTACTTCCTTTATACACGTTTTCTATGATACACGCATGCGTTCAAGTGGCTTCTTGTGAGGAAGCTCTACTGTTTAGCATTTAAGATATAGGATCCGTCGCATATGGACAGTCAGCAGACTGCCTTTGGCTGATGCAGACCTTACTAATCCTTCCTTTTGGCCAGCACTCAGTGTGAGTCAGAACGCATGCGCTTTGAAAGCCTTCACTGAGTGCAGGCACTGCCAGAAAAAGCTATGCAGTCTGAATCCAACAGAGATGCAGACCGTATAGCTGCTCCCCCCAAGTCAGGTACCCGGTCTGTGACTGCGTGCCTGACTTGTCAGCCGGCTGCGGGCCGCATGTATAGTGCTGGATGCACTACAAAACTACAGATGAGTATTTACAGCGTTCTAGCCCTTCAGCTTAGACAGACTTTACATGGACTCTGCCACATGGTTCACAGGAGGCGAGGGCAAGGGCATCTGTGCAGCAGGAAGCGTTAAGGTTGGGCCTCTTGCAGTAAGGTATTGAGGCAGCCATGCCCCATGGGTGACCCGATACCTCTTCGTCCTATTCTTTCCCCCTATGCCCTCCCCCTTATTTATTTTTTCTTTCTTCTTTTTTTCTTACTTTGCTATGTCCGGATGCTCGTATTTCTCTCTTCTTCTATGTGGGGGATACTAGGACTGCATTATGCAACTTGATGGCATCCTTTGTTAGCGATACCACCTAGTCAGGTTCGCAAATTCCTGGAATACCTGAAGTTTAACACTTAGAGTTTAGGCTTTAGTATAGCTTATGTTGGATGTTTATATGTTGTAAACTCCCCATTATTCGCCATTCAAGCAACGCAATTTATTTAGTTGATAACAAAAATTGTTTGTTTACATCTTGCTGCTGGCCGGCAGCTAGATTCTGCAGTCGGCAGCAGAATGCAAACAACGGAGAGCAATAGCCAGCCTGCTATTGGCGGTTTCAAATTCCAATAGCAGGCTGGCTTTTGCACCTGCCCACTGAGCAAAGGAGCAGACCAGTCTGCTCCTCTGCTCAGTGGGTGGGTCTTTAATAGCCAGCCTGCTATTGGTTATTTCAAATTGCATTAGCAGGCTGGCTATTGCAACCCCCAATGGAGCGAACCCATTACTATTATCTCTCAAGCAACCAGAAACTACAGTAACCTGGCACCTACCGATCCCCGTGGGTACCGAATAACTGAGAGTTTACTGTATTAGTATTGCATTTGGGTTTGCAACCTGAATTATTGAACATCTTACTTATGGGTAAGTGTAATACATTCAACAATTTCCTGTTCTATTTTTGGAATTTATGTACTTTTTCAGTGTACTTTGCCTGTACTGTGGAACGCATGTTTTAAACTTTAATAAAAATTTCTAACACAAAAAACCCCCCAAAACCCAACATATGCAATACATACACATTTCCCCAGGTATCCCTCTAAGGGCCTTGTAAATTACAGAAAAATACCTATTGATCATCCAGAATAGCCCCCAAGTCCTGTTTTGGGCTGACAATGTAAAGGCTAATCATTCTATGAATCAGATAAAAACGAGGGTTGTTCAAGATGACACAAGTGCATACAGGATAGTCTTGAATTTCTGACTAGATCAGTTTTTTGGGGTTTTTTTTGGCACATATACTATAGGAACCATTTTGTTATATCAGTTTGATATCAGAGCAAAGGGAACAAAGAATTATTCAGGTTTTCATAAACTTACAGAACATACCTTTTAAAATGTAGTCCGTGAGCAATGTTGGAACTTTCTCACTATCATCTTTCATTGCACTGAGAACTGACAATATAAAAAAAGAAAGGTATAGTTACATAGTTGGTTTAAAAAAAAAATATTATAAAAAAAAAAATGTACAGTTGATCCAGAAAAAAGAAAACACCCTTGTAGTGTAATCCAATTTTCACTAAGAGGGGAAAAAAATATTTCCAGATTCATTATTACGTGGGTCAACATTCTGCAGTGTTATTTTTAGCATTTAGATACAAAACCACTTTTTTTTTTATATATAAACAATTCATTAAGTGGGTTAAAATGATCTTCTGAGAAAGTCTATTCAATGTTTTCAGAGCCAATACTGAAATAAACCCTTTCTGTATGCACAGAGTAAAGCTCTTTTCTTTCAGATCTTTGCATGTTGTTATTAAGTTTATAATCTATTTGGACACCAAGATCCTTTTCAATCACTGATCTGCCCAGTTTTACACCCCTGATGTGCATGATGCATTTATATAATTTTAGACTTATCAACATTAAACCTCAATTGTTATGTAGTTGTCCAATAAACCGTTCATCCAGGTCAGCTTGTAAGACATTTTGCTGATGCGGTCATTTAGCAAACTCACATTTTTTTCTTTCCAACAACAAAAGTTAATGGTCCATTAATCCAAAAATATAGGCACTATAATTACCCATTGCATTGGTACCAAGCTAAATACTGAACAGTTTTCAAAAATTAGAAAACAATAGTTTCTAACAGAAACCATTAACCGGTTTATATAACAGAGCTTAACTCTTTAAAGACTCATGAATGCAAGTCATCTCGTCTACATGCAACAGTTTCTAGACTAGATCAATTGTGATTCATTTGAAATTGGGTGGATGACATTCTCATTTTGCATATCAGTACCACAGTTTTCATTGTGCATATATACAAAGTTTTTAACCCCTTAATGACCAAGGCCTTTTTCTCGTTTTCTGTACCCATGATATAATCCACATTGAAGGCCTGAAAATTACTTCAACCCCCCACACATTCTATATTTTTCCTGAAAGCCAAGACCGTGTAGAAAAAAAATGTTGACAGTTTAAAATTTTATGTTGCATGATATTAGCGCAACGTATTATCAAACCCCAAAATTTAGTGAAAAATGCCCTTAAATTGCTTCTATTGTAAAGCTGACAGTCGGCCAATTAGGATATTGGCTCCATGACATTAAAGCCAACTGTGCCAAGCATATTTTGGAATCACTTTACACTACACTATTTTGGATCCTACTACTGCATTTGGAAAGGAATTTCCTTTGCCTTTATAGAATTAGATAGACAACAAAATCTGAAAGATAAAACAGGAAACCTAATGAACCATATACAATAATAAACAAGGGCAGTTCAAAACAAAATAATTCCGCTCCCCTACTTAACCACTTCAAGACCAGGTGTTTAGACCCCCTTCCTGGCCAGGCCATTTTTCAGTATTCAGCGCTGCAGTACTTTGACTGAAGTTTATTCCGTCATACAACGCTGTACTGAAATGAATTCTATACCATTTTTTGGGGACAGATAGAGCTTTATTTTGGTGGTATTTAATCACCACTGGGGTTTTTATTTTTTACTATAATTAGGAAAAATTAAAGAAAATTTTGAAAAAAAAAAAAGTTTTTTTTTTACATTATGTTGTTAGGAAACATTTATTATTACCCAGTTTTTTGGTAAAATATAAAAGTCAGGGTCACGTCGGATAAATAGACACCAAACATGTCAAGCTTTAAAATTGCGCGCACCCGCGAAATCGCAGAAAACTACCATACCCAAAATTGGCCATAGGCGACACTTTAAAAGCTTTTACCGCTCATCAGTTTAGTGTTATCAGTGATTGATGGCCCTAGACTTATTGCTCTCACTGCGACGTTCGCGGCGATATGTAACATGTGCGGCGTAATGAACATCTTACTTATGGGCCCCCGACGCATGTTTGCATGCGTGTATGTATGGGTGGGGACTCAAAAACATTTTTTTTAAATTCTTTTTTATGTGTTACTTGACATTGTTGGGGGGGGGTCACGGTCCCCCAGAGGAGCGGGGGACCCCGGAAACCACGGCGGGGGGCGGACACGATCGCCGCCGCTGCTCGATTTAATACAAGGGATCTAATTAGAACCCTTGCATTAAACGAGCAGCGGCTCCCACTGTACATTCAGCTCTGCTTCTCAGGAGCAGGGCTGAATGTACAAAAAAACTACTCACAAGGCGCCCAAAACTGCATGTCCCGGGCACCGGGCGATAGGTATTCGCTCCATAAGACGCAGGCACATTTCCCCCCTCTTTTTGGGGGGAAAAAAAGTGTGTCTGCCTGGAATAGGTCAAACAAAATCCTAGCGCTATGCAAATCATCAGGAAGTGTATATAACGTGCATATATATCTATAAAGATTTACTTCCAAACTAAATTTTGTTACAATTTGCTCTTCTGACATTTGCCTGGCACCTCACACCCACATTCACCGTGTTTATGGAGTGGATGTGCACCATGTGAATGAGGACAGCCATCAAATATCACTTTTACATCAAGCTGTTAGTTTTTTCAAATTGGATGACTGGAGTTCTCAATTGGAGAGTTAAAAAAAAAATACAACCCCCCCATGTGCAGTCCCCCCTTCCACACCCCAGCCACAACAGTCATGTCTGCTGCATCTTTGCTGCCCCTACCACCCTGCATAACCTTCTACATTGGGAATGCGCGTGTGGAGTTCCTCAAACAATGGTGTACCCCTGTGACATAGGTCAGTATTAGATTTTAACCACTTAACAACTATGATGTCACACTTGTATAACCCCCTTGACACCTCTACAAATAAAGTAACATCTGAGCACATTTCAATGGTCTGCTTGGTCTTTTGGTAAGGTACACCCAAAGACACCAATATATACTTGTAGTTTTTAATTATGCGACTAGATATCCCAAGGCTGTTCCTCTAAGAAATACTTCCTCTAAGACAATTGAAAGGGAGTTTGGAAATCCTGTTCTTAGGAACATATGCAACGAGGATATGCTGACTGACCAAGGCACCCCTTTTATGCTGAAGGCAATAGCAGATTTTTAAAAACCAGATAGCCTAGTCAAGGGGTTTATTAAAAGTCAATGCTAAATAGGGTAGTACAGAGAGATGGGAGAGATTAAGATTACTTACTTCCTATGCTGTTATTTGCCACAAAGGTGGTTCCCCAAGACTGAATGGGATTTTCAACACTTGATATGGTGTACGGTTGGAGACCCCATGCATTGCTTGATTTGGTCAAAGAGACATGGAAAAAATGACCATGTTCCACAAAAGAATCAGTGAACATATAAGCTCAGATGTGAGAGAGGATCACTGTAATGCTGTTAGTGCAGGAACACCTCTGCACCTCCTGAGCCATCTGGAGAAAAGTGTAAAACTGGTCAGCCAAAGTTAGTCAATTTCAGCCTGGGGACAAGGTACTAACATGTACTAACAAGCACAGTAGAGAATAAGTTCTAAGCCAAATAGCAGGGACCATCAGAGATCATGAAAAAGGTAGGGGGAAGTAAACTACATGATACAAACTTGATACCACAAACTTGTTGAAGCCCTGGAGAGAGCCCTGAAAAATGTGCAACTGAGATTGAAGATACAAGGTACCTAGGGTACAATTGAACACGGTAGGAACTGTACAGGATGGGCCCTACCCCCTAACAAAGAAACTGGTCAGAGCATTCTTGGGCATAATTGGGTACTACTGGTGGTTAGTCCCCATCTTTGCCACCATAACCGCACCATTGTCCAGTTTGACAAATGGCTGGAAGTTGGTGATGATACAGTGGAATGCTGATGCTAGGAAAGCTTTTTTAAAAATATTAAAGCTGCATTATGCCAACATGAAGTGCTGGCTACCCTGGATTTTTCCCACAATTTTCTTTGTACAGACAGATGCCTAAAATTAGGTTTTACCAGCAGTCTAAGAGGTCAATGGAGATAAACAACCAGTGTTTTTTATAAGCAGAAAACTTGCAGCCGCCAAGAGAAACTATGCTGTAGTGGAGTGGGAGTGCCTGGCCATTAAGTGGACTTTGGACACTCTGCTGTACCTTCTGATCTCAGATTGCTGAACTCCAGATAAAAAGAACAGCCCTGTGCTCAGAGAAAAGAGTCAAAGTATACTCAGGGTTTATTCCGGTTACAGACATGGAGGAAATCATGGCTGCGAGGTCTCACTAGCTGGAGATCAAAAGGAGCCCAGAACGGCTGGGACTTGTAGTTCCATATTAGCAGTGTGCTGCTAACTAGACAATGGGACTGCTGGGAAAAGTAGTTCTGTATTGGTTGTGTGCTACTATATGGAAACTGGGAGTGTTGGGCTGTGTAGTATAGTATTAGTTGCATGCTGCTTTCTGGACACTGGAATCAGGGTCATGTGCCGCTACCGACACAAGAGTGTCTTAACCTCCCTGGCGGTATGATTATTGAGGATTTTAGGTACCAAAAGCGGTACATTGTTTTTCAAGCAAATATGTTGTTTTACATTGTAGGCCTGTAGTTCTTAGTAAATCCTAGGAATAACTCACCTAAATCTGTCCAAACAAGAGTCCAGTAGACATCCCAGGTATGATAAAGTTTGAAACACGAAATTAAAAAATTATAATATAATAAATTATAAATAATTATAAGAAATTATAATATAATAAATAATTATAAATAATTATAAAAAATTATAATATAATAATTTAACCGCTCCTAGCATTGAAAATTCACCCCGAGCCAGACTCGGGATTACCGCCAGGGAGGTTAATGCCGACATCGTTTTGCTGGATTCTTATTTTGTGAACTGTTGAAACTCTGACTTCTTATAGTTGTCTCCTCCATCCCAGTCTCTCCTGCCCTATCATATGCCGAAATTCCCTCAATAAATGCCCTATATGTTGGGTCCTGTGTGCTTAGACTCAGTTTGTTTTCCTAGTTTGTTACACCTTCCCAGAGCACTGGTACTCAATGCTGATGAACAAGGGCAAGAGAGTGAACACAGTCTCCTTGGTAAACTGGATTT